AAAGGTGAATCTGCTTAGCAGTGATGAGGCTACACCTGTAGTTCTGGCTCCAGTTCTAAGCACTTCAGTACGGGAGTTTCTAAAGTGAGTCCAGCAAAGGACCACTAAGATGACTAAGGGACTGGAACACCTCTTTTATAAGAAAAGATTGTGTCAGCCTGTTTACCCTAGAAAACAGAAGACCCAAGGTCAATCTCAGCAATATGTGCAAATATCTGATGGGAAGGTATAAAGTAGACAGACCATTTTCAGATGGTGTGCCCAGTGCCCAGGTAAGTGGCAATATGCACAATCTCACATACAAGGGGTTTCCTCTGAACATCAGGAAATGTGACTAAGTGCTAGCCCAGGCTGCCCAGAGAGACAGACTGTGGAGTCTCCTCTTTGAAGATCTTCCAAAGCAAACTGAGCATGGGCCTAACACACTGCTCTGGGTGGCCCTGCTGGAGGAGAATTTGGAGCAGAGGGACCCAGAGGTCTCTTCAACCTCCATCATTCTGTAATTCTGTGAAGTAAATATTGAAATGCTTGTTTTTTTAAAATGGCAATATATCTATGTATTGTGTATCTATACATGTATTTGTTTATACTTTGACCTTCCACTGCATTATCTGGCTAATATATTCTTGTTCAACTGCTTGTTTCTTACCTGATACTATGTTTTTGTAGTTTTCGTGCTCTGAGAACTATGCATCTCAACATGAAAGCAGCTGCTTCTGTAGTTTTAGAAGACTGTGTGTGAACGCATCCTAACAACAGTGTCAAGCTGATGTTGTGCTTTGTCATATAAGGGTGACATGACTAGGCATCTACACTGAGGCTGCTAAGAACTTTTAGCCTAGGTGGCATAACAGTGACGTGTGGCTGTTACTGAGACATCGATTTCTATGCTATTTATATGTATATAAACACTGTTATAATCAGATTAGCAGAACTCAAGCTGTTCTCAAAAGACCAATGTGTTAATTTTCCAGAAACCATTTTCTATGAAGAAATAGCTAGCAGATCCCATAGATCTGTCTGTTAGCCCATCAGGCAGCAAAATACTTTCCATTTCTAAAAATGTCAGCAGGACTATTTTGATATGTCTAGACTTATCTCAGTAGGCATTTACCAATATAACTTTCTTTAAGTTTTCACAATGGGCTTTTTTTTTTCTCTTCATTCATTCCTGCCATGCCTTTTCTTTCATGTTTTCAATCCTGGAATACTTAAGTGGTAATGCACCTTAACTACTGGCAAGGGTTTCAATTTATTTTTCAAATGGTATTGATAGTCTCTCCTGTGGTTTTAAACACATTGCCTAAAGTGTCATAAAAATAATTGCAGTTTCTGAAAAAATGTTCTTTATTTTTGAACAAAATATCTACGTTGACATGGGTAACGCCATAAATTTCACATATTTTAAGACTTCTGTCTGCAGAGAATGTCAGTTTAAGTGCAATATGATACTATAATACGATAAAAAGAACTTTAATCAAATCCATGCATAACACATTAATAGTTTTACCAAAAAGGAAGTATTTGAGATGAAATTGCCATTGGATGTTACTAGGCAGAATTCACAGGAGAATATGTTTAAAACTTACAGACAAGTTATTAATACACTATATATATTTTTCCCTTTATTTTTTTCTGGATCCTTTAAAATTTTGGGATCACTAGCACACAAAATATGTATATAATGTTAAAACTTTATGGCAAAAGCTTATGGCACAATTTTTTTTTTTTTTTTTTTTTAATACAGCTCACAATTACACATTTCTGGAACATCAGTAACTTTTTCAGTCCATTTTTATCCATTAACTTCACTCTGTTATGCAACAAAATATAAACATAATAAATGTTTATTGCATATTTCACAAAGATAAAAGTGAAGAAGTGCAGTAATATTCAAGAATGTCAAGAATACAGTATGAGCCAACAATTTTCTGGCATTTAACCCACTGCTTCTAGCAATCTAACCTGCTTCCACAAGCCTTCCAAACTGATAATATTTCAGTAACTACTGTAGGTGATGCATGTTGCCTGAAGGCACGTTTTCCATAACCACTTACAAATAAAACACCCATTTTATTATTAACAAGGAGCTTAGTTTGTGATTTATATCTTTTTCTTATTAGTTTTCTCAAAAAGGAAAAAATTATGATGATTTGATAGTTCTGATTGTACAGTAAGATGTGGAAAAAGTTATTTCATAACCTTCCAGGGGGTACTTTGAAAATTAATAGCTCACTCAGCAGTTTCACAGTATAAGGCCAAATTCTGCTCTGTTGGATTGCATTAATTCCTATGAAAGCTCAAAGGAGAGCAGAAATTACACATAAAATATATCTACTTTTTGCAACCAAACATCTCAGCTTGGGCTGGGTACTGTATAGATAAGTCCATTTCCATCTAATATAAAATTATTGCTAAAAATAATAAATGTAATCATTTTAAGGATAAAGGAAGACTTTCCCTCCTATCAAAAATATAAGTTTTTGTACAATTTATCTTATCTACATTAGCAACCTACAGTTCTCTAACGGGTTATAGTACAAAGTGGAAGAAATACCTAATTTCTTTAATGTGAAGTGCACAGCTAAATCACTTAAATATAATACTTTCTAGTGGTTAAAGAGAATCATCTCTCACAGATCACAGCAGATTTGTTATAGAGAAGTCTATAAAAAGTTTATGGAACCAACTCTAATAAAGAGAATGGAAAGAAAAGTAATATATTATTAAACTGAAAATGATAATTAAATCCTGTATTCTTCCTGCATTCCTCTAACCTAATTAAGTAGTAGTACTTGCTGTCAAAATTCTTTAAAAAGAATATGTACTTCATCTAAAAATTGCTAAATTCCAAATAGTATAACACTATTATTTCTTCTTTCCTTTCTCCCTCAATGCCCCTCTAATTTATCAACATTACTGAGGAAAAAAAAGACAACCCTCTAACTCTATTTCTCTGATATTTGCATATGGTCTTAAAAATAAGATGCATTTTCCTATGTGGAATTTAAGCAGGAATTTGGTAGTCGAATATATCCACTGCATCTCTGAGCAACATTTCTTATCCTTTTGAGGACCTGAAGCTTTTTGGCTTTACTGAGACAAGCATGGTTTTGGTCACATATCTCTAGTCAGTGGTGAGTAACAGACATTCTTGCCTTGAATTGTCTTATAATCTCAACTGATATTTCTGTCTTTCTCTACTAAGTGACTTCATCCTAAGTCATTTAGGAATAATCTAAATGAAGTTTAAATCTTTTTTGGTATACCCAGTATTCAGTATATCACAGAGGCTTCCATTCTGTTGGCAAATGTTATGTTTTCTGTTAAAAAAAATTAGGGGAGAGTTCTTGGTTACGTTACATCGAAATTGAAAATCTGTATTTAACTGAGGGCAGCAGATTACATGCCAAATGTATTTACATTTGAAAACATCATTACAGAACCATTTTTCAGTTCTCCCCTATTTGAAATGCTTTCTTACTAATATATTACTTAAAATAAAGTTCAGTAATGCTGTAGAGCTTTTATGCTATAAAAATATTTAAATCTCTTTACTTTCGATATGCCTTCTTAGAAAACTGAACACTATGTGTAAGTTTTCTGCTTTGCTTCCCAATGTAATGGCTAGAAAGCAGAATAACTAGGAGCTAGAAAACAGAATTGCTAGCAGTTGTTCTGATCTGGTCTTATGCATTTACCACTTCAATTAAGAATTCTTTATTGAAGAGAAGCCAGCTGTTTTGTAGGGAAAGAACTGAGATAAGCCAATTTTTAATATGGTTGCTTATGGATTATGAGTCCAGTCCAGTACTTCAAACAGTCCTTAAAAAGATACTTTGACTTGACTGCTGACAAGGATAAATTAATATCCCTTTTCACGTGGCACATTTTACGACAATTTTAAGGGAAAAAAAATATAATCCATCTAGTTATGTAAGCTCATGATACATGGATGAGCACCTGTGCTCATAAATGAATGGGATTTTTTATAAATAAATTTATAAATTTATAAATATGAAGAAGTAACATAAAAAATATTACTTGAAGTGAATTGAGTTTATGTCAGATCATAAAAGAAGAAAAACTATTAAAAATACTGTTTTAGAATATTATTTTTAAAATAATAGCATTTAAAATGTTGGAGGATTATACATTTTCTCACACAGCTGAATAAAATCTGAGAGCAACTATTTTAACTCTCTAACTAATCCTTGGAGGAAAACAACAACAAATTCTACCAAACCCAAGGTTGCTATGTTATAATCCTCAGTGCAGAGTTACACTGCTTCCATTACTTCATACGCAACATGCCTTTGGCAGCGCACCAGATGTTTGCCTCCAGCTGTATTTTGCTTTTGTATACACATTCTGAGCAATAATGAAGCAAAAATTCAAAACATGTTCAAAACAAAAATATTTTGCAATGAGAAACAGCCTCGTTTACTGGACTTTTACGTAATGAATAATTCTAAATATTAGATTTATATCTTAGCATACTGTTGTTTTTCAGTGGACAAAAATGGCAAGACTAAACACCTGTCTACAAGCTGTCATAAATATGACCTATTGTCTTATAACTTAAAGAAGAAACCATTGACTGATTTAGTCCCAAAGAAGGAAAATGTCTCTAAGTATTAATAGGTTTTCTATTTATTATACAAAACATAAATAATGCAAAAAACCATTCAGATCCCTTTTCATGTTTTAGAAGAGCTACATGCTTTTTTTTCCAAAATTGTGAAGTGTTAAATAATCAATGCCTCTATCATATAAATACACTTAAAGAATACTACAGAAAGCTACTATATGATCTATTCCTACATTGAGCTTCCTGTGATATATGTAACATGTAGGAAATGTATGTAAATAAACGCAGCTGTACTCATCCTCATAATATTTCAGTGAAGCAGTTGATTATTTGCCTTTAGTTTTGGTCCAATATCTCTATGCACTGAATTAAAATGAAGCAAAATATTGCAAAAAATTTTAAAATTGCAAAATTTTGATATAGTTTGTCTATCTCAAATACTGCATGAGTTTGTCAATTAAGAAAAAAATGTGAACTTTTAAAAAGGTTTTACAAATATTTTAAGTTGCCAAAGCATAGGTAATTAAAAGAAAAAAAAAGTATTTTGCAGGAATCAATACTTTATAAATGTTGATGTATCTTCTAGGTGATACAAAGACTATTTAGCTGTAAATATTTTGGGTTAGCTAAGATTATTTCAACTCATACCACCCAGGAGATTGATAAAAAGCATACTGAATAAATTACATTAATTAAATGTGTCAACTGTGCTCACTGCAAAACCACAGGTCCTGTCCTTAGGACAAGAAAGAGTCTTTAAAAATCTAAACTCAAGTAATTTATCGTTATCTTGTAAAACTGAAATAAAGGTAGAAATACTAGTATATTCTCTAGTAATATGGGATTTACATAGACTATTCTGGATTTGGGATCGTTAAAATACATGAGAGTTTAAAAAAACATTAAGGAACATCAAATAATACTATACAATTATACTACTATGTAACAGTATGTATAAACACTTGGCAGTAAAGCTTGAGTAGAGAGTGATTTATGATGAGTTGCTAACATTTGATCTAGAAAGTTTGCAGTTGCAGAGTGTCTTCTCTTGTGTCATTCTTCCATTGCACTGTAAATGGGCATTTCAAACTAGGCAGGATCTGTTTACCCTCCTTAGTGCTTTTTTCTTTCCCAGTCACTCCTCACTCACTTGTTTCTCTCAGAAAGCCTCCTGTTGATCATGGCAGACAGATCTCTAGGGCTGCAAGCCTCAATCTTGTTATTGGTGAATGTCTTCGTGCCTTATGATTTTGTAAATTACCCAGTAAAAAATGTTGAAAATTAGAAAGGCTAAAGGGAAACAAGCTCTGGAAATTGTGTCTATCTTCTTCGCTCGATCAATGAATACTTTTCTCATCTCATCAGGGCTTTTAGGTGCAGCTTGAGCAGGATTATTTGGCCCCTTCTGTGCCACTCCATCTTTTGCTTGCAGACATGGCCCCACTCCATACGCTGTAAAACTGAACTGACTTTCCTGTGCATCGTCATCCTGTTGCATGAAAAAAAAAACAAAAAAAAAACAAAAAAACCACAAGATTTTACAGAAATTTTACCAGTTACTAAATATCATTTACTACATCTTTAGCTCAGTGACATTTTTGAATCCACTGTTTAAGTGGTTGAAATTTCAGCCCAAAGTTCATGTCAAAATATTGTAGCAGCTCTAATGAGTTTTTCTACTTGTTTCACTTCGTAATCTATTTAGAGAAAAAAGAAAGATTAGTAAATGAATTTACTGGCTTAGGAAACTAGTGATAATCAGGCACACATCTGATTTGTTTTTATTTTCTACATTTATGGTAAATGCCTGCAATCTTCAACTGGGAAGACTTCAGGGTTCTTTCAGACAGCAGCCCTTAACTCTATGTTGCTTAAAAGGGTGGGATGGCTTCTTGTGATACCTATCACACAAGCAGTAACAGTGTTCATTAGTGAGAATTCTGCCTATTTTATATTTGTGTTTTGTTATTGCTGCTGTTCCCTGTATGTCAGATAAAGTGAATAGTATGTAAAGTATCTTAATTTGACATAGAAATAATATAAAATATTTAAAATAAAGTTAGTATCTTAAAAATATATAAAAATAAATTTTAAAATAAAATAAATGAAAGCTGAAGGCCAGAATTTTGATTTGACAATTAAGGTGAAAACTGTCAAAAATATTTTGAATTCAGGAGCTGTGAGTGAAAGAGTTTTAAAATCACAAGATACAAACCAAATGTAAATGATCTTGAAGACATATATATTTTCACAGCATAAATATCTGGTGTGTAGCTTCTGTCTGGAAACACATTTTGTACATCTCTTTATCCTGTTATAAATATTCTCTATAAAGCAGGCACAAATACAGACTGGCAAATAAGACCTGGACTTATTTCAAATCTATTTCAACATAGATTTCTAGTGTGTATGCTACTCAAAGATAGTTCTATGATTTTGATGGCATTTCAATTAAAAAAAATCTTTTCCTATTTTTTATGTTTAATTATCCTACTTGTTTTAACATTCTAGAATTCTGTAAATCATGACAAAATATAACACATCATTTCTTAAAAGAATTCTTTAAAAATATTTTTAACATTTTATTTCTTTTTTGGAAATCCACTTCTGTAATTATTCAAATAAGGGGCAGAAGCAGTCAGTTTTTTCTGACGAGAAAGAAATTTTGATATTTTTAAACTCTGCTTAAAAGAAAATGATACAAACTTTACGTTTACCACAGTAAATAAAGTAATTAGTGTTCTGGTTTAATAGTTCTGAAGCCTTTCTGTTTCATGTAAACCTCTTTGTTTTATTTTTTGAGCTAACTTCCCACTTATCGTTGTTTAAATCTCAACTTCAAAATTCTCAATTTTGAAAATGTCAATGCATTTGAAAGTGTTTTTGAATCAATGATTAATTCTGAACATATTAAAGTTTTGATTATACAGAATTTGTTAAGGAAAAGATTTCTTCATTTAAGAAACTATCAATTAACTTTGTTAGCAATATTAGTTGAATCAGTTATCGGCAAGTGAATGTATATAAATTAGTATTATAAATTAGTAAATTGAAGTGAACTAGCTGGTCAACAGCATGAACATTCAGCATGGCTGAATCACCCAACTGTTGTAGATGTAATCTAATTACAATACTTTTTCATATATGTAAACTGAATAAACTGATAGACTACTACAATTCACTGAAACTGCTATGCTTTGAATCTCTATCATATTTCTTATATAAAAACACTAACAACAAAAATAAAGGAAAATTAACATGAAAGCAAAGGATGAAGAAAAAAAATCGTTGATTTACTTTCATATGGTGATGAATAACAGAAATACAAAATGTTAGGATGAATTTTGATGACGTGATAAAACAAACTACATCAGTGTTCCTCTCCTGTCAGAAAAGGTGTCATGGTTTTGTTGTGTAGGGCTCCACACAGCAGACTTCTATCTGCAATGCTTGCCCACAGTATGACATGATCCATCTGTGAACAGGGCAAATTTCATTTTCTGGTAGTTCATGATACTAGTGCTTCCAAACTTTTTACCTTCAGGCCAGTCCGTCATCACTTTAGGATTCCTGGGCAGCTGAGATTCCCCTTTCAATCACCTGGCTTGTCTCTGTTGCAGGTGCCATCTCATCACAGTGTTAGAGTAAGGCCTTCGGCTTTCAGACGCTCTCTCTCATTTCATTTATTAGCTCCAATTCTAATTTTATTGTATTATAGTGTGTTATCTTGCATTCCAATATCTTATTTAGTAGATAAGTTTGTTTCTGCTCAGATCGTTAACCACTGTTTTGATTTTAGACCCATTTCCCATTTTTCCCCTTTTCCCTTTCCTGGGTTTGGATCCAGGGGTTCCCCTGCCTCGCCAGTCGCGGAATCGGGCAAAACCAGTCCCTAAACCACTGACAATAGGAAATAATATTTTAAGAGTAGTTGTATTCCAGAAGTGTTGTACTTATGTATTCCAGTTAACAGGAGTTACAAATATGGTAGATGTGAGAATTTATACTGTACTTGCTATTTCAGCAACTTTGCACATACGAAAATCTGTAAATCGGGGTTTAAATCTTCTCATGGTTCTCCAGAAGATAACGTTTATGATTGCATCAGCTCAAAATGATTATAAAGTAATACTGCTGTGTAGCAGCTTTCAGTTGGTTGTGTTTTCTGGATGCACTCTGGAGGCACTCTGCTATGACTCTACTGTCTCTATTCTATGTCTACCTGAGTTGAGCAATCTTCCCAAAATAGTTTTAAAGGCCAAGCTCCTGCTTATTTTTTACTTGCAGACATTCTTTACTTAATCTACAAGCAGGATGATCAATAGTGCTCTTTTCTGTTGAGCAGTTGATGTGAATATCCTTCTAGAGGTCTAGTCCAGTGATGCTGGATGGATAGTGTCTCCACAATGGCAGTTAGAGTGGTTGGAGCCTGCCAAGTCAGACTCAAGTGCTAGGGATATAATGCATACACAGGAAAGGGCACTTTCCAGAACACTGGGTATCACCATAATTACTTTCTGGGGTACCAGATGCAATATTTGTAGTTCTGGAAGTTTTGTAGCAGGGTCATTGTGTATAAAAAGCAATAATTTGTAAACACATTCATATCTAAGGGTGCTCCTGTAAAGCAGGAAAGATGCAGTTGCTATTATTGTTGATAATAACATTTGAGTGCTTTTTTTGAGGGCATTAATATAAAATGACAGCAGAACTCCATGTGCTTTTATAAATTGATTTGGCTACAGTCCTTCTTTTTGACTAGAAATATTTCTGATAATCCATGTGTTGGTCACAGCTGTCACAGCTGTTAAAGTCGTCTAATGGATACCCTGTACATTTTAGTGGAATATCTGGACAGGGACAGAGGAGTCCATTGCATACGGGGTGATTTTTTCTTTCAAAACGTACTAATGAAGCTCGTGTGTGTGTGTGTGCGTGTATTCATTTTAGGGCATTACTGTTAAAAAAAAAAAAAAAAAAGGTTTCCTTTCTTATTTTAGATAAAACTTCCAAATTTTTAATGCAAATGAACTTCATTAAAGCTTTGGTATGAATGTGCTTTTCACAAATACTCCTTTGGTACTATTAGTTCGAAAGTTATTCTGTGTATGGCTACATGTAAATATGTTATTAACTCTATTAAAATTGCTGTAATCAAAGAACGATAATTTTAGATAACATTTTTTATTTAAAAAGTAGAATTTTTTCAAGGCCCAAGGAAATCCTAATTATTATGCTCAGCTGTAAAGTATTAGAAAGCTTTCCGTTTCTGTGGCCATGTGTGATTATGCTCTTTCTCTTTGTGTATTTAATAATACACATCTCTTGAGGAATATTATGTATAAATCCTAAAAATATCTGTGTGGCCTTTTGACTGTAAGTTTTGGTAAGTTTTTGAGGATTTATTTGAAGCTGTGGCTTTGGTTATTTGAACACTATTGTTTACCACTATACTGTTCTGAACTGCAAACAGCTTGATTTTAAAAACTAATCTGGTACCAGTTGATTTCCTCTTGAACTGATGTCACTGTTTCTTTGAAATTGCAGAAAACAAAATTTTAATATCATGTTTTAATCCTGATTTAAACAGATCAAAAAAGATTACAAAATTGATGAGATAGATACCTTTCTTAACATTTCACGTCATCACATACAGGTAGCAATGAATGGAATCCACATGGAAAGACATTATTTCAGACAAAAGGACAGGGCCTCTGTTAATGATTGGATATCACATTTTGACAAATGGGACATCTTCTTCATAGTTTACCCTTAAATTTGTACTGTAGATTTGAGGCAAAGTCCCGTCTATAGGTCCTGCACATCTCAAGCCATTGCTATGCTGTAATGATTCAATGATTTCATTTCCATCAAGAACTCCCTCAAAATACTTTCATCAAAATGGATGGGTTGACCAAAAAGAAAACAAAAGAAAAGAGGTGTGATTACCATTAAAGACAACCTAGTTTGCATGTCTATTTTCCTCACTAAAGATACTTGTGATCTTTAGATTTTGGAAAATAGAATTCAAAGATTGATTGAAAACTAAATATCTTATTTTAAAAGCTAATCTAAAATCAGTGGTATTCAGCATAGGAACACAGTTCATGCTATTTTTCCCCATACAGAAAAACACAACTAAGAAAAAGTGCTGATCATAGGTATGTTTTGGTTGTCCTATATGATTTTTCTAATTCTGACATATTTCTTTTGTTTCTCAAAACCTAAAGGAGAGTATATTTAAATAAATAATTCATATTCATTCATTCTGAAGGTGTTTCCATCACATCAGCAATATTTGTTAAACTTACATTCATTGACTAGATTTACTTCCCAGACAGAAATAAAGCACAATAGATCAGATGCTAAAAATGAAGTTTTAAATTGGAAGCAAAAATTTACATATTCATAAGATTTTGCCATTTCAGTAATTATAAAGAAACAAAAAAATAATCTCTTATTGTGATGCTTACTGAGAAAAAAAGTAATGGATAGATTGCATATTATGCTCCAATAACCATTGTTTGGATTTTTTTTATTTTTTTTTTTTGTAAGTGTATTTATAACAAAATCCCAGATTTCTTTAAACTACCTACAAATTTTTGTCACTTCTGTAGGAATTTTATTGGGCTTCTAAAAAGCAATATGCCTTTCAGTTATTTGGAATCATTAAGTGAGGTCCATAGCTACAACAATAAAAGTGGTAGCCAGAGGCTGCAGTTATATCTAAGAATCATCTTTGATGTTGCAGCTACTGCTGCCCAGGAAGAGAGGCAGCAAATATTGTATTAAGATAGGTAAGAAGGAAGCAGTGACTTTCGGTAAGAAAAATAAAATATCATCATGGCAAAGACAGATGAACTTTAGATGCCAAAACCTCTTGATACAGCTCTGTATCTTGTACTTTGTACAATTTTATAATTTTTTTTTTTTAAATTCAATTATTTTTCTCTGAGCTTGATCATTTACTTTGTAACAGTATTTATACGTCCTATGTTTTTAATCAGTATTGACAAAGAATAACCAATTATTTTGATTAGATTTATGAAAGATATCAAGCTTGGAGAATAAAGCAAATCTATTTGAGGATATGTTTGGAACAAAGATTTAATCCAAAAATTTGAACAAAGAGTCCAAAAAATATGTAGGGGGATAATCAGTAGGAGAATGCACAAGGTGCTACATTTATCACAGAATAATCAACTTCATGAAAGAAAATGGTTCTGCAGTAGTTCTGGAAAAAGTCCTGAAGTTTATGAAAGATCACAATCTTGATATGGATGAATCTTATGCGGTTGTTAAAAAAGCAAATAGCAAACTGTTTTAGATAATCATGTGTATATAACTTGCAGGATTTGGTCCTTTGACTGTTGGCAGCTCTTACTGGCTATTCCTAATGTTGAAAATATGATTTTTAGGAACTATGTGGCTTACAGAATTTCCAGGGAAGGAGAATGACAATAAGCAAAAGTGTGGGAGACATGCCCTGAGGGAAAAGATTATACAAACTAGTCCAGCAAAACACTTAATTCCATTAAAAACAGACTAAAAGTACAGTCACATTAAATATCACTTAACAAAGTTGTTTATATTTGACATGGGTCACATTTGTCATGGCCCACCTGCCCCCTCTTGGGGGGCCTCCAAAAAACTTGGAAAGGAACCTCTTGCAATGTAAGGAGTAAATTGAGGTTAGTCTGCAGAAATTAAAAATGCCTGAACTTGTCATGTTGCTACAGTCAGACTTTCATCCACACTACAGATATTCACTGAATGCCAGTGAAAAGCTCTGCGTGACACCAGTGGTGGGTTCTCACTGAATGAGAAGTCGATAGAGGTATTTTCTCTTTGAAAAATCAGTAGGCATTTTTGCATGCTGTTGTAAAACACTTTGATTATCACAAATTTAAACTTGTAACATTAGCTGCTTGACTTTACACGTTACCAGTGACTTCCCTTAACAGCAGTTTAGATAGCTTCTGCCATCAAATAAATATAAGTAGCCACTACTCTATTAAAGCTCTTTGCTAACTGTATGAACAATTTACACTAAATTGACATATGTGAAAACACTCTTTTCAGCCCCTTAAAAATATATATCCCACAAATAAAATCAATTCAAAAATTAATGTTCATGTTTAAAATACATGAAATACAGCTGTTAAATCTGGAGTGAAATAAGGAACAATATTTTTTGAATCTTAATGCTGTACAAAGTGCTGCAAGTAACAGTCATGTTGATCCACTGAAGTATAATCTGACTCTTCTAACAGAGAGAAATTCATGTCTGTGCAGATGGCTCCCACATGGCCCATGCCTCATTTAAAGCCCTCTTAATCCTCCTTTTGAGAATTCAAGTTGGATTTATGCAGCACGTAGTCCTTGTAGTGACCCTCAGCCTAGAGTGGATTTTGTTCTGTGCTGCCATTTTATTTATATTGCCACTTTAAGCAGCAGCGTGTTTACCAAACTGAGCCCATCTTCCAGCATAATCAGTCCATCAGACTCCCTTCCAAGCTGTGAGTACTATTAGCTTTACCTTGTTCTTCTTCCTCTTCCGTCGGAATCGTAGGAGTTCTTTATGCTGCCTTGACACAAAATTTACAGCTGCATATTCCAAAAGTGCAGAAAATACAAAGAGCAGACACACAGCCATCCAGATGTCAATTGCTTTGACATATGACACCTAAGAAGAAAATAGAGCAGAAGACTGAATATTTTCAAAGCACAGATGTAAAGTTTAGCATTTCATGTCAGGAAGAAGCTCGTTAATATCTCCAAACCTAGCACTCATTTGTGAAACAAATTTTCACATGGAAGTTTGATAATAAGAGAGAAAACAGTGGAATACTTATATTTTAATGATTATTTTTTAAGTGTCGGCTTTCACAGATGTTTACTATTTTTCACCCTAACAATTTTTCTTAATGTACTGTATATTTTATCATAAACAAAATAATCCACAAGGATCACGTCCTCCATTTCTCCCAGTGAGATCTGTGAATGATGCTAAGAATCGCTCTGTTATACTTATTTAAAGTTCCCAGACTAGAAATTAGGTGAAGTGAGATGCAAAATTCTGATATGTTCATTTTATGTTCATTTTTTCTGCCAATACGGGCAGAGTAAATTAAAGATATAGATTTAAATTCAGTATAAGTACTGAAAATGAGTTACAGAGCTGATGAACTCACTGCAGTCCTTCATTGCCAAGCTCAGCTGCAGGACATAATCTGAACTGGGAATATGGAACACTCTCTGCGTAGAGATTTACAAGAGTTTTATCATTTAAGACAGCAGAGCTAGCATCAGGCCTCAAGAATGTGACAAATACATCTGCATCTCCCTTTGGTAACCCCTTACGTTCTTGCTTTTCAGGGTTTTTAATGTGTTTCAGTTTCTCATCTGTTAATGCTACACTCAGGCATATTGTGATCCATATATACAATGTACAAAGCACATTCACCTCTGTTAGGGTTTTTTACTTTACCTAGAAAAAACGTAATCAGCAAACTTAAAAAATCCATGTTAAAACTCATACAGAAGTGGAATTTGTTTTTACTGCATACATTTTTTCCCACTAACTGCAATGAAGATGGTCGAGGAATAACAACTGAAAGGAAAAACAGTCTTTAAAGCAATTCCCTTAAGAAATTCAGTCATATTTGATAGCACGTTATTAGATATTGGAATCCAGAAAAGGACAAGCTTTTGATATCAATTGATGTAAAGCAGCACACATTTGGTACAGAAAAACATTGTTTTCATCGCTTGTTGGGATATGTTGTTTAGCATGCTGTGGGATTAATATTTCAAAGCTATTTATTTCCTTCAAAATAATAAGTGATATTAATTAAAACATGTAAGATTGACTTAAGGACTTTATTTGCCACATGATGTTTTTATTTTGTATTAATGCAGTACACATAGAAGAAATTCCACCTACCTTTGGAAGTGATGCTCGTGAGCCTGAGCTTTGTGTTGTCATGGTCAGTACAGTTGTTATGCCTAAAGCCACTCTGGCTGGAGCTGCATCCATATTGATCCAAAATGACACCCAAGAGAGAATCACGATCAAAAGACTTGGTATGTACATCTGGATGAGATAGTAACCCATCTGTCTCTCGAGGTGAAATCGGACTTCAATACACGTAAACTTTCCTTTTTATAACAAAGAATAAATATTCAATAGAAATATATTGTTACCTAAAGAGTGTATACTGCATCAAATACATTTCTTCTCTAATGAATGGTGAGTGTTTTAATTTCCCTTCTGTGACTTTTAATATGTGCATTATGCCATTTCAAAAGGATTAACTACTGGAAAGAAAGTGGTCTGAATAACTGCAAATTTAAAATTCAATAAGCTCTGGAACACTTATTTCCTTATATATGCAAAGAATCCCATTATGTTTTGGTCCAATTTTATGCTTAAACAATTTTTTCTTTATTCCAATGAATTGGAAGAAAATGTAGTGACAACAGTGAAGGTGCTAGGTCATCAACAAGAGATCCCATAAAGTACTTCCCTTCACCTCCATTCAAATTGTTTTGACTTAAATCAGAAATAGAAGACTTGCAAATGGGCTACTCCAGGAAACTGATTGAGTGGCCTCATTTTTCTGAATACTGAGCATCAAGCAACTTCTACTGATGTAACTGAGCTAGAACAAAAAAATCTACTGTCTGCTCATAGCAGTGCCAAAACATGCATAAGCAGAGTTTTCTCTGATCAAGATATTTTACTCTGTAAATTGTATATTTTTTTCAGTGATCTTGACCTAATCTCATTATATTTTCTAATTCTACTCAATGTTTACATTAAGCAGACATAAATACTGTTGAAGGCAATGCTCTTACAATAAATACTGTATATATGACAGTTTATCGTAGCAAGAAATATATATTTGACAGATTTCTTATCTATTTCAATAAGAGCATTTCATAATTCCAAGTTTAACATGGAAAGACATTTAGTTATTTATTTCTTAATTGATAGGAGGATTTTCTTTTTTGCTATGCTTTCGAGTAGTTTTTGATAGCACTTTCCTAATCCAGCTTTATCTGTTTTATAAGAAATGGTTCCATTAACAGTGCTTTAATATTTATCATACTAATGACATTTATGCATCAGATTTATGAATGATTCAGAGAATAAGCTTATTCTTTACTCAGTGTACTATATGTTATGCTCTAACATTAGGCATTCAGAAAGGAATACTTGATAAAGTCAAAGTGAAATGTTTTAATTCCAAGCGTAATTAGTGCTTGGAATTATATTCTGAACTTTGTTGTTTTCACAGTACTTCTTCTAACATGCCCTTAGTTATTTCTACAGTGCTATACTAAATTCCATTGTATGAAACCTTTATTCTGCCAAAGAAAGAAAAAAGAAAATCAACAATCCACCATATTTACAAAGGCAGTAGTTATAAAATGTTAAATGCACAAGTTGTAAATCTAACTCCACTGAATGTGTGAATTAATATTCCTGCCTTCCTCTGAGGCCCAGTGATTTTCTGCACCTGCCAGTCCATGTTAGGAGCTGATGGAATTACATTGACTTTGGGATTTCCCCCTCAGCTGTAGTGTGCTTCCCAGCCAAGACTTCTGTGTTCCTCCTCTCCTCTGTTCCCATGTAGTGCTGAAGAATTAACTTAATAGGAGGCAACTTCTCAGGAAGACGGGTGACTACCCAAATAGAAACCTTTCTGTTTCTGCACAGATTACTGGGCTTTCTCATCCATGAGAGACATCAGAGGACAAATGCAGCGGACAGAAGTCAGCAGAGACCATCTCACCAGAGACCATTTGCAGCAGTTCTTGGTCTAAGCTTGGAAAGGGTATTGTTAGTTTTTGCCCTTCCTGGCTGAGATCAGAACCACCTGCATAAACTTGGCTGATGAAGCAGAATGGAAATACAGCATTTGCACTAGCAGATGTGAGCTTCAGCTAGGAGGCAGCCAGCAGAGGCTGTGCTGTTTTTTATAGCTGAAGCCATCATCTAGCTGTGAGATCCTGTTCTTTTCTTGTCCCTCGTCCCTTTGCCTCCTGCACCTTAAATATTTACTGACATTGATCAGATCCCCTCTCAATTCAGGTTCTCACTAAAGCAACCTGTTCAGCATGCTGTCATTCTGCCAGTAAAGTATTAGTAATACTAATACTTGTATTAGATGAAACTTCTTATGTTCCAGTTTCAACCCCAAAAGGTTGCAGATCCATGGGTTATAAATCATTACTACAATCTCAGAAACAGTGTCTTAGGTGATTCTCAAAGAACATGAGGGTTTGAGTTCTTGTTGACAGAGGAAAGCATCAAAGCTTGTTTCTCCTTCTTTAGGCACTGTCATGTTAGTAGCAAAACGGCCCAATGTAAGACATTGTCAGTAGTAGCTGGGACCTAGAAGAAGCACAGTTTGCAGGTTGTTAAGCGATTTATTTGGCTTTAAGAGGAAAGAAAGAAGACCATGGGAAAAATTGTGTATGGACTACATACATTAAGAAGTTGAATAGGTTGAATGGGGAAGATGAAGTTAAAGAATTGGGCAGGTCACCAAGATTGCATATTTACCAAATTACAGATACAGAGACATCGGAAATTGTCCCTTACAGAATCTATCAGTTCTGCTGGTGAGCAATAGCCATGTCTGTGCAGTTTCCAGGATTGCTACAAACAACACTTAGAGTGAAAAAAAACCCCAAACCATTCTATTGACAACACAGCTCTGAATATTTTTAATCAGGATTATGATTAGTATAGTACCCGTGGTAATGGAATTATTCAAATTTCTTTTGTGCTTGCTAGTCAATGTTCATTATGTATGAATGTTGCAGTTGAAAACTGGGTGTTCCATGAAAGCCCAGCATGCATGTGACACAGTCAGGGTAAAGCAGGACTATTCTTGTAATGTGAGAAGTCACATATGACTTTTCTGGTTACTAGGATTTCACTTCATTTTCTAAATTTGTCACTGTAGACATGCCAGAGGATGTAAAAACAGATAAAAATGATCATAAATATCATTGCATCAATTTAAACACAAGACCTTATGAGCCATTATGCTGTGCTGTTGCTGAAACACTTCCATCCCTATATTTGAAGAACTTTATATATGTTATTTTTAAGCTACAGTTACAGCAATCCATTCTCAATTGGACATGAAACTCTAATGAGTGCATGCACTGATTAGCTCTTACATACTGTCCTGAAACTTCAAGTTAATTTGTTTCACAGGAAGATTTTTAAAAATTTATTTCTGTTCTACAGAATGTCTCTCAAAAGCTTTCCATCCTGTGATGCACCTAAACTTAATCAAGAAACCGATATTTGGTCACTTGAAATGAATTATATGGGAGTTTATTCTGGAGTATTCTAAAAGGGTATCTGTCTATAGGATATGTGTTCAACCTTCTAACCTTTTGTTGTTGTTGCTATCTTTCACTTATGTGTTAGTAAACAACAGTAAAAAAAATAAAAGATGTTTTGCTACATATACACATTAATTATATTATATATTTTATCCGTGGCTCAAGCCACAAGGTTAGAGACTCATGGTCATGACTCATAGGTTATGAAGAAAAAGGTGTAAGCTCAAAAATGCTGAAAAAATGAAGTTTCTGTCAAAGTCAAAGGTTTAAATGACAATTTTAATGAGAGTTCTCAGGCAAACTATTTAAAATATGATTCTACTTTGGATGAGAAATTTAGAGAGAAATCACTGGAAAATCTGGCATTTTAAAATAAGTTTCCATTCAATATCAGATTAAGTAATACTATAATTCCTGAGTTAGAAATTTTTTCATGAAATGTTCTAATGAATTTTGGAGAAATGTGGAGAACACTTTCCACCATAGGTTCTTCTTTGATAATATCATTATATGGTTTATGGAAGCACAGATATTGGCACATGTAAAAAGCACAAAATCAAGAGAGCTCTAAAAATGAAGCAGTGGTTGCCTTTATTTCTAAAAGACAGAGATGAATCACATAAGTTTTCTTGTCTGTCTTAAGGATTATACGAAAAAGAATAAAGGAATAATATTAATTTAAGCATCATTAACAAACATATGTTTGAGTGAAAGAATTACCTTCCTGTATGACATGTATCTCCACTTTTGGAAGCTCATCAAGGATCAGACAGACATTACTATTTGTACAGTAAAGGTGCACGTTACTTTGTTTCAGAGAACACTTTGAATGTTGGTATTTCTATCCATTCTAAATAGAAACCATTAGAAAACCTTCAGTTCTCTACCCCTAAGGTATCAACGCAGCTGTGATACATTCAGTGTTGAAAAGCACTTTTATTTTATTTTCACTGCAGCAGGACATTCTTTATGAATGCTGCCCGTTGAATTTTCCCTCCTCTGTCAATTCAGCAGAATCTAAATAAAGTAGTTTGAAACTTAAATTTCAAGTTATGTTTAACATATCGATAATCACACTGGAGAGCAGACTTTAAGAGAGAATGGATAAATGAAAGAATCTTAATTGTGTGCTTTGTTTGTTTTTAACTTGAGAAGATGGAAGCTGTGCACTCTTAGCATTTGCTATACATATTTTTGGAGGATTATTATGCTTGTGATCATTCAATTTTCAAGGCAGTTTTGTTTACAATTACAAACAAGATGACTGAATTAGTATTGATAAAACTTTGTTTTTCCCAGTACCCTAGAGACATAAGCTAAACATAACATCACAGTTCTACAAAGACCTCAACTCAGGAAGGCCGTATCTAGTTTGGACACTCATCTATTGTACAATATGGGTACTTTCAGCTGGTCTGCATTTTTCCATTGCCATTAAGAAATAGGGAAGGGATAGCTGGCTTGGAAGAAGTAACAGGCTTTTCCTGATGTAGCCAGGCAGGGCTTAGTGCACAGCATATGGACTTCTTGGTCTTGGCAGTGCTTCATATCCTGAAGTGTATATGTAGTCATGCCATTCACTAAAAAAAAGAAACTCCTGACTAAATTGCTTCTTTATTATTTCAAATATGTATTTTCTTAAGCTTACTGAAATAGAAGTTTTCTCAGCTGCGAGGTGCTTTTCATTGTGTCAATTATTTAAGACAATCTTGTCCTGAAAAATGCATCTGAACGTCTTGCGAGTTCACTGAGAATATTAAACAAATAAATAAATCTCTCCAAAATAACAATAAATGTAAAATGATGATTTTTTGGTTTTAATGACTAATATGCTTTCCTACCTGTATTGTAATGCTTGGTGCAGTAACACAAATCCTTTTCTTCTTTCAACAGAAACTGTGGCAGAGTGAGTCCTTCTGCTACTTGAACTGCTCCTTTTTCTTGCCATTCAAAAATGAGATCATTCATTGTGTATCCAACTAAAAAAATATATAAAGTTTAAGTCAGTGGTAAACTTTGAAAAGCGGGGACATACCAAATAATGATGACTTCAGCAAATGCCATTAAAGTAGAAAATTCACCAGATCTCTTTGGGCTAGTTAACAAAAAAAACATTATTTACCATTCTAAGCCACACTGAGGTAAGAAAAAAAGAAAGCTTTCTTTTTTGAAATCTTAATAGTTATGTAGCATCAAAATCAGCTATGTTTGGCTCATTTTTATGAATTTATCCTCTCTTGCACCATCATATCTCCCTCTCATTCTATATGGAGTGAAATGTTAGATGTCAAAGTTATATTTATATGCTTATGTCAATTTATATCAATTTAGATACAAATTCTTGAAAGGAAGAAAGAAAATTTATCCAGCAGTGAGGTATTAGTTGAACTGAAAAAAATACTTTTCTCTGAATCTGGTGGAAAACATAGAAAAGCAATTGATCATAATCTCATGCAAGCTGACTGTGAAGAACGAACTGGCACTCCATATTCAGACTCTGGTATTTACTCTTACCTCATGATGTATGATTAAATAAAATCTTAACATTTGTAGCTGAAGTGCTAATCAAGGGGAAGACGTTGTAAAGAGCAAATAGTTTTTCCTTGTATTTCTATCTCTCAGCTGAATAGTGCGTGAACTTTCAATGGGGAAAAGCTGTTCTATATCCTCTGTATATATGTCAGAAAATATATCTTTGGAATTCTATTCCAAAGTTTTTCTGGATAAATTGTCTGTTTGAACAACAGAAAAAAAAAATAAAATTGCTTCCTATTCACATTAAGGTTTCATTTAGACTTTCTCAGGACATAATTAATTGAGACAATGTGAGATTTTAAGACTGAAATCTAAAATTATTGTTGAAATAGTTTGACCCACAAGGGTACACTTGACTCATATATAATAGATTGAAGCATGAGGAAAAGAATGGAGTAATTTTTACATCTAAATTATAAAGTTTTCATCCATTTAGCTTCTTCGCAATGTTTCTTTTCTGCTTTACTCCAAAGCCAATTAGCTGTTAAGAATAATCTGCAAATAACTGGAAATATCTTTTAGCATTTCAGTAACAATTTAGTGTTTAAATATCGTGTTCAGAAAATACGGAAATTTTGAGTTCTAGTGAGGGAAATAAACTCTGTTATGCAGACGTCCGTCTTTCCCCCTTTATGTTCAGTGACTTCATTACTCTTTGAATACATCTACAAATACTATTCAGACATACTGTTTTGATATACTGGCCTCAAACCTGAAACACACTTCATCCTTTCTAATCTGTCTTTGTTGAATGTAACTGCACATTAAGAATCAGTGACCTTCAGATTTGTTCTGTTTCTTTTGGAGAGTACCCTTAATATTAAGGTTTTTGCAAGCGCTTAGGATGATACTGGTTTATCTTTTTTGGTATTTTGTTGGGACTAGATGAAAATAATAAAAACAAACCCATATCCTTTTAAATAAGTGCTTCAGTAAGATCAGATATTACGCAAGACATTACATGCTTGTATTAAATGTACTTTTTTCATCAATACTTGCATGCACAACAGTATAAACACAGATTTAAAGTTTAATATCAAATGTCATAAAGTAGAAAAATTCAAAAATTTAGCTCTTACCAAACTTTGCATGTATTCAGACAAAAAGTAGTTGTGTGTAAAGATTAGCATTTGAACCATGTAGATTATGGCCAGAAGTGATATCCCCTGAGTAAAACTCATTGAACTGACAAGAAACAACTGCTGCGTCAAAATGTATTTCACTAAATCAAATTCATTCATCTCTAATGCATTTTTAACTTTGAATATCTACTCTGCCAATAATTCTTCAATAGTGTAATATATGAACAACAGGAACTATATACAAAGTACTGATATAACAGTTTATTTTTACTGTCTACATTTTAAATACCCAAATAGAGCTTTAACATTCAATACAGTAATTCTAGTTTTCTAAGACCATACTGGTGCAGTAAATGCGTCCTAAAACACAGAGGAGCTTAATGGAGAAACAGTTTTATGTTATTCCAAATAAAATAAAATAAAGTGTATAATGTATATCTTACTTCTATTAGATATATCAAATTAGTCTCTATTAAATTTGTGTCCCTTTATTCAATGTGAAATACAAATAAACCAAACAAATGTGCCCAATGAATTAGTGAAATCTACAGTCTAATTAATTTTGAATATTGAACTACTTGATAACACTAATTTGTCTCCGGATTTTCTTTACTGAGCAGTGTTATCTATTCTTGATTTTCTAAATGAAAATATGCTATTGTTTGATGCATTTCCAAACAATTAGATGAATACATTCTCTTTTCCACCTACCACATAATTCTTTCATCTCTGCATGAAAGAAAGCAAGAAACACTACAGTGGAAAATATCTTGTTATTTGTAGATATGAAACAAAATCAGAGAATTTTTAAGAAAGAAGTGCAAGAACAAACTGCAGCTCCCCAAATATTCCGTGCAAAAAAGAGCTAAATCCCATGTTATTCTGCATTAGAGTATTTTTTTTCAAGAGTAACCGGAATGCTCATAGAGCTAAATGAGCTTCTTTGGTATCTCAAAACAGAAAAATATTTTTGTTTCTTAACTGCTTTCATGAAGAAGATCAGATGCATAGCACAGTAGTTAACACTTAGTGCTGGTGGGTATAGCTGGGTGCATGGGGCGTGATGGGGAATAGAAGAACATCTATGAAAGTGTTTTTTAAAATGCAGACTAGTAGTTTTTATTCTGTGCTTTAAATACAATAACGATTTAAGTGCATGACATTATATAAATAAGAAGCCTAAAGATCAGATATGGAGCATGTTAGTTTTGGGAACTCTTTTGAATATGTAATTTATGTTTCTTATTGAAGTGGCGCAGCACCATGAAGACATCATGGCATATTTTGAAGTTACCATGAGGTTCAATCTCAGCAACAATGCCAAGCAGAGACTTACGGTCTTGATATGAATAAGGCACTAAAGTATTTAGTAACATCAAATGCAGTGGGTTGTGTGCACAGCAAGTCACAGAAACATAGGGAGCTTTGGTAAGGAAAATTTTGGAGTCTCAAGGTCAAAATGTTATTTTTTTTAGATACAGGATCCTAGAATTGCCAGTCATAAATGTTTACAATATTGAAATCGTGGATAAATTTAAAATCCTGAAGCCACCACTTGAGTTCAGTGGGGCTATATATATCATTCATTCATATGTATGTGGCAAACTGAGGCCTACATTTGCAAAATGGAAATTTGATTAGATACTGTAACAAAGCAGGTCTGCATTTACTTTACTCAGCTGCGGAATAAAATGTACACTCAGCCATCTGCTGCTGAAATAACTCATACAGGAATAAAAATGAAGGTGAATAAAGTAGTTCACTGCCTGTATAAGATAAGCTACTCCTAGTTGAGCAAAAATGCATGGCTGAAGTGAGTAATGAGCTCTCCTTGTGCTAGGTTTATACAGCACCATCTACACTGATCAAGCTTGTAATTAGAGCTGAGTGTTTCTGAAGCACAACTGCAATTAAAAATAATTGATCTGAATGCAGCTGTATTCAATAGTATAATTCAACAAGACAGATTTCTTCTCTGATACTCTTGCTAGGAGAGGAAAGGGTCCATTAGTTATGCTTTTTGTCTGTGTCTTTTACATGTTCTAAGAGTGAAAAAGTAGGGCAATGTTAGAAGAAGCTCTGTTAGTTTCTACACTTGACATCACTGATGTACAGCTTGTTTCACTTCCTCTCAGTGAGTCTTCTTTCTAGTCTGTAGGATTCTTTTACAAATGGAAGAAAGAGCATGTTCAAAAAGTAGGAAACTGCTATAGTGACTGACCCACAATGTTGATTGAGGCTCTGAATAAGTAGAGTGCATTCACTTGGCAGAATGAAAGTTTGTGAAAGAGAATCAGGTGCTGTGAGAGTAGGTAAGATTTTATTTTCAGGTGTGCCACTTTGGATACAAGGGAAAGGAGGAGAAAATAGACAAGGAAGCCTCTAATGGCAAGTTAATCATAGAATGAACCAGAAATCAACAAACCTATAGAAGTACCTTATTAGTTTCCATGTAAAAAGGCTATGATGTAGCCTTCTATAATTAGAAGCAGTCTGATATAACTGGCACCAGTTTCTTCCTAGATTAACTGCATGTTATCTCCCTTCCCCCTGAAATTAGAATAAACTACTTTGTTTTAATTTGGTAATACAATCTTCTGTGATGCTAGATGACATAGAAGGGCAATAAGGACTATCATACGAGGTTAAAGAGGATCATTATGATTTTTAGTCTCCTACTGACATAAAACTTCACTGGCATGTTAGTAGCATTGCAAATACTGTAACCTCCTCACCCAGCAAATGGAAAGAGGGGCTTTAGAGTTTTTGCTGTTTATGAACATAGCTTGGCAGAAAAAAATCAAAGGTAGTTGTTGATATATATATCAGACACTAACTTTGAAGATATCACTTACAGGTTAGGAAGTCTCAAGTTGCTAAAAGTGTATCAGTGTAGGAAAAGGAAGAAAAAAAACACATTTCTTTGTTGAATAGCAATTCAACAGGACTGGTTAGATTGCGTTAATACTGACTATGTTAACCCAAAGTCTGAAGTCTTCCACATCTGTAATGAAAAAGCAGATAGTAAATTATTGGTAATTATATGATGTATGCGAACTGCTGAGTCACAGCCTGAACCTCTGATTGACCACCTGAGCTGAGCAATAAGTCAGCCCTGGTAGCACAGGTGAAGACAATTCTGTGCTATCGGAAGGGTTGGAGCCCGGCTCCACTTCTCCTAGACCCCATTTAAAAGCTGACTATTAGTAGAGAAGAATCTCTTTTGGAGATTGCTCCTCTTGAATTTTTTTCAGCAAGCCTAGGATAAGGGTAAGCTTTCTGTCTATTCTTCTGTAGCGTGATAACCTGTTTAGCCTAACTTTCCTGTATATTTCTTAATTATAATATCTGTGTGTTCCTTGATTGCGCTTATGACAAGACTATAATCCTAGAAGGAGGGGCTGCTAGATGGAGAAGTTCTCAGGAGTAGTCAAGAACTTTGTGTATGTGTGGCACTGTGGCCTTTCAGAAAAACAGCTTTTTAAAGAGGTAACTCATTTTATGAATCCTTACATGGTTTTAGTAGCTACTAAAGAGTGTACTGGCAGACTGAGACCTCTGTCTGAGATGAGTATTAAGAACTGGAAAACTGAGTAAAATTAGTTTTTGGTGTAAAGGCTCTGAAACAATTAGTAAAGTTGGATTTGGTCTGCAGAAGTTTTTCTTTAAATCTTTAGATCTATTAGAGACCTTGTGGTAAATGTGCAGAAATGAAAGCAAAACTCTGTATGGTGGGAGGAAGGGGAAAATATAAGAAAATACAAGACAGGAGATGAAAAGTGGTTATTAGGACTTCTGCTTGCTACATTTGGTGTAGGTATTTGAATAACCTAGGTATCAAATAAAATAAACTGTAGTGACAGTCTATTTAATTTATCTACATAATCTGCACAGAACTCTTCAGCAGAAGATAGACAAGACCAATAAAATCTGATCTTTAGCCCACAATGAAAATTTTCTAGTTAAGTTGGAAACTTTCAGTGTGTGCAGTTATGTGCTTCAAGAAAGATCCATGGGAAGAAGATTGTAATCTTACTGAAATATTTCAAAGTAGCAAGGGTAATCACGGTGCCTACAAGAGAGAAAACTAGACTGTTCTCTTGGGCTTGGTCATCTTTCCCAGAAAATTTTATTTTTTGAAAAACATATTGACAAATTATTACCAATTATTACTTATAAAGACAAATGAAATCCTTGGAGGAGTATATCATTTGAATCTGTTTTCTTCCTTTCTTCTTCACTGTTATCATTTTTAGTAATACATATAACTTCTGCATTCATCCAATTCTGAAAGAGGATCCAAACCAACCTTAAGTAAGATTCAATTCAATCTTCATGAATGGATCTATAGAGTTATACAGAATGCATCATAATAGAGTTAAGCAATTTATGACAGCTGCAAAGAGTTTGAGAGTTTGAAGATTTTAATTTTGTTAATTCAATATTATCTTTGGGTAATAAAAGCCTATTGTTTCATAAGCAAAACAGCAGACACCCAACAAGTTTGTCTTGAAGAATTATAAATAAAGTGTCTTCAAAGTGTGGACTTCTCTTCTCCAAGCTGTTTAAGGACTACTCCAGAGAAAAACAAAGCTCGGTATTCAAGAGAAGTAATTCCCACAAGTCTTCTGTAGTCCACACATACTTTGAATGAAATCTCTTGACAAATTTTAATACCAGACAACTGTCTTACTTGTGAATTTCTTTCCTTCTAACCATTTTTAAAGTACCATTCCAAATCATGAAGATAATATTTTTGAGCTAACTTCTGATCTGCCTTTATATCAGTATATCTTGTAAATTTTCTGCTAATTCTGTGCTATTCTTGAAAGTATTTGCTTCTCATACATCTTTTTAAAATACATATATACACATTAAAACCTCTTCTTCAATATGCAATCATGTGAATAACATTAAAAAAAACAACCAACCCTAAATATCTAGCATTTCTGTGCTAGAGAGTTTGTTTTGACTAGAGGTTTTATTTTGTTTCTTTTAAACCCAGTGATTAACCTAAACTTCATTCTTTTTTTTTTTTTTCCTAAGTGTTTTGAAAAATAGAAGTGCAAGAGTAACATTGGACTCATTCAGCAAACTGAGCTGTTCTGTAGGCATCCAGCTGAGGAAAGAACAGCAGTCATGTTGACTAGAGTAATTTCACTGCTTTTCCATTAGGTATCCCAGCAGAATAGGACAGGCTGCCTACAGATTACTGCTGCAATGAACGTGGGAGAGTTTTGGACTGCACCCTAAATTTCAAGCAACTAGGCAACAGAGAGGACTTCGCAGAACTAACTAACCTGTCTTCAGCTTGGGGTAAGTATAAATTCTTATAATATAAGTTACCCACTTAAAATATTAGCTCTGAAAATCAACTGTTTTGTGATTGTAGGTTAAACTTATTCTGGATTACCAAGAAAGCATTATTCTATGTATTTCTAAGCCACATTTCAAGGGGATTGTCCTCTGATGGAATCTCACTGTTACAGGTTTATCTCTACTAGATCTTATCTTTTACTAGATTTTTAGAAAAGAACAGCATTTCAGGCACAGACCTCTCCCACCTCTCTCAAATCTAACATGTGCTAAAGACTGTAAGTTTTACTTTTACATTAGTTCTTGTAGGTTCAGCAGCAATTGCAAAGTTGCTCCTGCCCTTTCATCCTGTGTTAGCTGGGAACTGAAGAGTGTGTGGATATCTATTTTTTGGTAGCTGTGTATGAGGTCATACTTTAGGTACACGGAGTGGGTTGAGTCACCCTGTTACAGAATAGAAGCCGTGTACTCATTCAAGTGCATATCCTAGGATCACTGGTGGGTAAGAAATCTAGCCCTGGTCTTTCCCATGTCATCTGTGTTTTTATGAGAGAGGAATAATATGCACATAATTTCCCATGATGCTGACTATCTATTCGCCTGCATACAGATCTTTCTATTTCAACAATCTCTATCCCTCCAATTTTGAGGCTGGGAAGAAAGAAATTGTACTGCTCAGGTAATAGCATTTTGCAATATAGAGTCAATTTTCTCTGAAATCCCCCGAAATGGGAGATGATGGGAAGGTGATTTTTTTTTTTTTTTAAGGGAGCCAAAACATCAAAATAAAATGATTTTTATCCCTTACATATAGTGCTTTTCATGGCATGTTTCTTCTTTTGTGACTGGCGTAGTGTTTTAATGGTACTACTGGTTGAAGATTTAAGAATATTGAATTTCAGACAAAGTTATAATACAACGTGTATATATAATTGTAATATATGAATAAAGGAATGCTGTGAGATAAATACAATCTAAGACAAAGACAAGGAGATCTAGTACATGAAAGAAAGAAAAAATCTTTCTTGTGAAATAAGCCTTGGAAATAAATATCTTGCTGACATTTCTTTGTGTCTTATTCAAGCAGAATAAAACTAAAATTATCTAACATGCCTGTAGGCTGCCCCAGCGTGAACCGTAGAAATGTGGAAGGGATTATGTCCTAACTGCGTTTTCTTTTGCTTCTTTTCAAAGATACAAAAGCAGCTCATTCTAGTTTTTGATAAGTCTTTTGGTTAAATAAATACTTTTGAAGTAGAATGCACTTTCTCTTAAATACCTTTTACGTGATTCAAGATATAAGTGAAGGGGCAAACACAGCTGCAAATACTGACCTTGGAAAAACCATTCGATGAGCCACATAAAAATACAACTATCATTTGTGGGGAAAAAAGCTATACATGAGTTTCCCTCTTAGGGCATTCTGTGCTGGAGCAATGGTATCAATATTGATGGAAAATATCTATTACTGAATAAAATTAGTTTTTTTTTTCATAGCAGAGGAAAAATCTACTATTTGTCCTTTTTAAGTAAATGTCAGTCTTTCTTTGTGAATGGTGGCAAGATGAGAAAATGAGCAACTCATCAGCAAGACATCCAAAGTGGTATTCAACTAACAAGTGTTCCTTATCATACAGTCTATGGAAACTCAGGGCTCCTGCAAGGTATCTGTAGAGTAAAACAAATGCCCATTTTCTCAAGAATGCTCAGTTATTGTACAGCCTCTCCTCACATGGGCTGGAAGAGACAAGTACAGATGAGTTTCATGAAGTTGTTAAAGCAACAGTTTTTAAAATAGTGTGTGTATCTATATAAATATATATATATGTATCTCTTTCTTCACTACTTAAATACTATGTGATACCTTCTGTCTGAAGCATAGTGATATATACTGAATATATCCCCAAACAGTATGTATTCTGATACATCTTCCTCACCTTAATCTCTTATTCAGTGGTATTGATCATAAAGATGATATAAGTTATTAGTAGAATTATTCACTTGAGTGAATGTGGAATTTTGCTTAAATGCTGAATATGTAATATTGCCCTAAGTTCTTTGACATTTGCAGTGAATAACCATCTCTTGTTTTTTGTCACAGCAATTTCTGCTGTCAGATTTAGCAATTGTCCTCATATGAAAGCCTCATTTGGCTGTTATGGCTGTTAGTAATGCTGTGCTCAAATTTTGCTTCCTTGCTGGATGATACTTTGTGTGGTCTTCCTCTTTGTACCCTAGAAGGTTCACAGCCCTTTCCAAGATTTTTCTAAGGCATATTTCAGTGATTTAAGGTCCTGCACCAGTAGAGAGGCTGAGGACTGTGTAGGTGGCATACCTTATATAGGATCATGAACATATATATATGTATATATATATATATACATACATACACACACACACACATATATATATATAGTGTAACCTTTTACGTTTCCTTCTTACAGTAAGCCTTTTCTCTAGTCATTTCTGAGATAATTAAGTAAAAACTACAGATACATGTAGCTAAGTTGAAGAGCTAATGCAGGAATCTGAAGAGCGTGGACTCAGCACAAATTATCTTGTTCCCATTGTTTTAGTATACCAAATTATTTTTAATTTCAAGATCTGCACATAAATCACTTAATTTATTCTCATATTTTCCTTATGTTCTCCCATTTAACTGTGTTTCTGTGTGTGTGAACACAGATTTCACAGTGAATCACAATACACTTAAGCATCACGTAAAGGTAAACTCTGTACTGAATGGGTCAGTTTAGCAATAAATTTTGATTTACATGAAACTTTTTTTTTGTCTCCAAAAGAATGAAAAAATCTTTTCCCTTGAAAATTAGCAATGTTTTACAAATTAAAATAGGTAATTCATTTTTGAAAGGTTGTTCTCCTTATGTCGTTAGAAAGGAGTATTTCTACTCCATGCCGAATTCTGTAATCTCTTGTAAAGTATTTATAAGATGATACATTGCACAAACTTACAGCTTTCCAACTGCATTATACATGTTTGCACATCCATTGGAAAATTTTTGAGATCCATTGGGCAGGACAGTATTAAAGTCAATCTGAAAGAACACAAAAATATATTAAAAATATATCACAAAAACACTGTATAATTGTACAGGTGGAGTGCATAAAAGCAGAGGGAATCCTTAGAAAAAGAAAATGTAGTTTTTCATTAGAAAGCTCTTAGAAGGGAGAGTCCCAGTAGAGATGTCTAATTTACATCTAAAAGAATGCAACAACAGCCTGTTTTTTCATGCTACAGTAGAATTATTACTATTATATTGTTACAGTGTTTCAAATCCTTGACATTTACCCATAAAATTTACTCAGAATTGCAGGAATTTCATTTCAGATGTCAGTTGCAAATTGTGCTGCCAAAGTAATTTGTGTTATTGCTCTAAAATAAGGTGCTTAAATTGTCAACACAAAGATTTAAAATAACATTTCATTATATTAGTGGTAGACTACATATTCCCATAAGTTTGAAAGGTGGTTGTGTTTTGCATTAGCCATTATATCTCCTTTGAAATGCTTTGCAACCTATAGTAAAAAAGTATTTTTACATATCGACACAATAACTGAGGTGTTAACTGAATAATTTTAAATGTTTCAGAAGTTGTAATAGTTCTTAATTAAATCATGGGAGTTTAAGCATTCTAGTATCACAAGAATATGGTATCCACAAGCAGTGTGGTCAACATTTGCTCTTATACCTTTAGTGTGGTGTTTTTTTTCACCCCCATTTCATGAGACTGTGAACTTGGTCAGAAATCTATTAAAGTTGGTATCTGAGTTTGCTTCAGCAGAGTGCTTGTGTTTATAGTCTGTGTTGTATGTATTTGGAGAGAGTAGGGCAAGGAGGAAGGGTTATTCATTCAATCTGCCTGTGTCTCTCAGATTGACTGAATCTGGAGATAATTGATTTAGCTTTATATTTTGCTTTGGTTGAGGGAAGGAAACCTTTTTGCTTTCTTTGAATATTTCTAGTGACAGAATACACATTGTGACACTGAAGAATGGTTATGTACTTGGACTGGCATACTAAGCTCCTTTTGGATATGAAATATGAATAAAAGCTTTAACCAAACTCTTTGTTCTAATGTAAGCTTGACAGTGTGATGCTCACTTGCACTGGTATATTCATACAAGTCACAAACACTGTATTTTTTTTGTCCTGGTATACAGAGTATTCTTTAGAGTCCTGATGTCTCTTCAGAATGTTTCAATTACCCTTTGACGCAGTATGATGTAAAACCAAATGCTAAGTGGAAAAGAGATGTTATATTTTTCAAAATGAATATTTTTTTTTCAAGTAGGCCAAATCTATACCATGACTATAACATTAGTATACTTATATAAAATTAATTTCCCATTTGATTACATTTTTGAAGGTAACTGTAAGAATGATTTTACTGCTGTTATAGTCTAATGATGTCTGTATTAATGGAAGTGTGGAGAAAAGAACTGGAACAATTGTATCTTGTCAATACTTAGATGTGTAAGATGCTGCTTACAGCTTCCTAGAACTTTTCAAAAATTTACTTTCCACTTTTCTCCCCACCTCCTGCAGTAAGTGAGCTATTCTTAAAACCTCACGCTTCAAGTGGCTCATGTTTACGTGTTGGACTGTGACTGCAATATCCAAAAAAGTGAAAGAGAAATTACATTGGATTGTTATGACATTGGAGGCTACAGTATGTAAAGCTCATACACAGATCTGTTCAGACTGTAATATTCCAAGCATATATATATACCATGTGCAAGAGTCTGAGTTCTTCTAGGCTCAGTATCTGTGATTTAAATTCAGAATGATGCTTTTCTTATTATTTTTACTAAAACTACTTCAAATTAGAGATCTCTTTCTATTTTTGCATTAAAAATGAACAGTAATTATGATAAAATTCAATATTCAGAGTTCATGTTTACTTTAGTAATTGAACTGCATGACAAGAAACTGAAAATAGCTGTTAACTTAGATATACTTATGAACTTCTCTATGAAAAAAAATTGTGTGATTAGAGACTCACCTGATGGAATAAAGTACATTTCCATTTTTGAAAATTCTTAACAACTTATTATCCGTTGTAACTTCATGAAAGTTGGCACCTTTTTCATTAGCAAAGAACAAATCTGGTTTCCAAATTGAATCCAGCATGGATGGATCTAAGTCTAAAGAGTCATCTGGATATTCACTGTATGCAAGACGTGGATCATTCCAATTCTGACGGAGAAAGATGTTTACTCGGTAATCCTGAATGAAAGAGAAAACAAGCAAATTTTATCAAGCATAGGGATTTAGCTTTTATTTCATTTCTTAGCCATGTAATCCCCTGTCCATCTGTGGATGACAAAAGAATTACTTAGCTGATTGTCAGAATGATACCTATTTGTATCAGTAAGATCACAGTGGATAAGCATAATTTCAAGATAATTGAAAAAATCCAAAGATAAGGAAATCTGACTTCTATGTAGTCTGTATCATTCCACATAACTTTAAGCCTTCCACAGCGTTTTCTTGAAATGGAAATGACAGAAGCATGCAGAAAGTTTAATGGCATAATCTTTTCCTGTTCAACTTCCCTCTCCTAGACAGTGAGTCAGTCTATTCAGCTGTAAGGGAACCTCAGTTCACATCTTCTTGCTCTAATCCTTACATATTTTAGACATACCACTTAAGTGTTTCTGTGCCTCAGCTCCCTTCTGAACAATTCTGTGAGAGTAGTATGTTTCTTTGTCTGAGGAGGATGTATTTGTTTCTCTTCTGTTCAGATGTGGTAAAGAGTTTACAAAGGCTACTCCAAAAGCTATACTTCCTATTTCTTCAAGTTGGCCCATCACATCAGAGGCAGATGTTGTTAGAGGGTGGCAGTAGGGATTGAACCTTCCCACCAGTATTCCATGACATGTTGTTGCTGTGTGACAGATGGCAGCAGAGCAGCTCTCTGACAGAATGGCGACTGAATGGAAGTGCGCATGAAGTAAAGGTGTGTCACTGAATTCCTCCATATAGAAAAAATGGCACCACAGACATTCACTGCTTGCTGAATGTTTATGGAGACCAAACAGTGAATGTGAGAACAGTGAGGTGCTGGGTGGTGCATTTCAGCAGTTGTGATAGCAACAGAGGAATGAATGGATTTCTTATACAACTAGGGGCTGCTTATTAGGTGTAAAACAGAATAAATGAACATATAGCAGGAAAAGGAAAATAGAGGAAGATAAATGGAGGAATCTATTCCATGTTATGTAACTTTGTCTGTCAATTTGCCTAACCTGAGTCAAAGTAAATTGTTTTAAATTGTTTCCAGACATTAAGGTGAAAAAAATCCAATTTAAGTTGTACCGAAGCGATTTTTCTTTCCTTCTTCCCTGAAAAGTCTGTCTTAAATTGCCTCCCATTACCAAAAAAAAAAAAAAAAAGGAAAACCAAGAAAAACCCTTAATCAATTAAAAAGATATACACTTGAATACTACCACATGAAGAAAAAGCATTCATTGATTTAACTTGTAATTATACCTTGTGAACACAGTAGTAACTTGCTTTAAACAAGTAGGGTTGTTTGATGCCAACACAGTGAACAGAATTAAACTGCCCAAATTGATTTGCTTTCCTGCAAGAGGATTACTACATCTGTGTGCTACTTGTACAGAGAAGTAACTCCTAACTCAAATTATTCTGTTCTGAGAAGGTTCTTTTGTGGGGGGAGAGAAGCCATCATTTAAGCTGTGTGATTTCCTTATGACCTCAAGGCTGCCATTATCAAACAGCTGCTGTGACCTGGTTGTGCAGAATGAGGCTGATTTCTGGGTCTGCGCTTGCTCCACTGTCTGTCAAAACTCACATTCACAGAATGAACTTTCTTATATGGTAGGATATTGGTCATCTGCTTCACAGGCACAATAAAATTTACACATGGACATCAAGTAGCTGCTCTTTGCTATTTATGCTGAGACCAAGACTGTTATTGGCTCCAGTACAAGTGTTTGATTAGCAATTTCCAGCACACAGTGAAATCTAAAATATTTACAGAATATTTTTATTTCTTCTTCTTTATACTGATACACGTAGACTTACATTTCCCTAGTACATGGAATGTGAGATACTTCTAGATTCCAGAGACTGATATATTTAAAAAAATTTCCAAAATATGCACTTTATCTGAGTAATTCAGATTACCTGCTCTTGTAATTTTTGAATACTGTCATTTGGTCCAGCATATTTTCACGTTGTGTAAAATCTAAATTTGCCTTTTGCATAATGAAATCAACTGATACTTGCTTGATTTGTTCTAGGTCACTATGGAATTTTAACATGAAAATCTGTACTTTCCAAGAAAGTTGCTAGGAGTAAATACAGTGCCCTTATGAGAAATGCCATTCTTTTGAAGAATATTTAAATTTCGACTCATTATGAATTTCAGTTCTTGTTGGTGAAAGTTCTGCCTTGAAAAATACATAAGCTTCTTGTGAAATCATAAAAATCACATACAAAACTGATGTATTTGCTAATGAATGAAATATAAAATGTAAAGACTCATTGGAAAATGTTTTTATAAATTAATTAACTACATGTATTGCAAGTGCTTGAAAATCAGGCCCCATCTTTCTAAGTTATACGTGTGCATAGGGCAATAGGTTACAATGGTTATATTTCTGCCTTCCTAGGTTTCTACATCTGTTGCTAACAGCTCAGTTTTACATAACGCTGGCAGAGCTTTTTGCACATGATGGAGTGGATTAGAATTTACTTTATTACAATAGATGCTGAATTTGATCCTTAGTATGAAAGAATTTATCACAGATCTAAATAGAGCTGTTCCCATTAAAGCTGAAGTCAGGGACAAACTGTAGCAGTGTGAACTGCAGTGAGAGGGCAGATCAAGAGGGAACTGGCAAAGGCATGGTGAAGCAGGGAATGAGATAAATGATTAAAAAATATGTTACAAGAGATTGGAATCAATATCAGGGAAAATAAGACCCAAGCAAATATGAATTGAACAAATGAACATTGTTTTGAATGTTTTCAATGTTTTGAAGCATCTCATAGTAAGCTTAAATTTGTAAGCATAGTGAGGTAATGGGTTTACTGAACTTGTGGATCACCGTATGGGGAATGAGACTTCAAACAGTTGTGTGCGTTTGCAACAGGTTAATTACCAGCTTTCAGCATATTTTCCATTTGTTATTCTAATTTTGATGGAATATTATGGTGAAAAAAGAAATATCGGTCTAAGTCCACCACTGGCATATAAAATGGAAAATGTTTATTTTTGGAACCAGAGGAATGCTGCACACTCCACTGATCTTGTTACCATGAGAGGAGAGTAAAAACCTGTTTCCCTTTTTTTTTTTATTTTTCACTTTCTCATATGAGCTTTCCCCAAAATATGCTCTGGCCATAAACACTGTGGCTAAGCTTTAGGTAGCCAAATTACTTTGACTAAATTGATTGAGTTTCCTTAATTCTCCTTTGCATATCTGAAAATTTCAGACTGGCCCAAAAGCTTATTTAACTAATGATTTCAATATTTCTTTGATGATATTTCTCAGGTACAGAAATTAAAGTATTTAAATTTAAGTAAGCCCCTCATATCAGTAGGTCATTTTTCTTGCAGGTAACCAATATCACTGCAAAATCAAAAGAGAAGAACCTTTGCATTGACATCTAAGAAATGTAAATATCAGTTGTATTAAAGAACCTGAAGAATTCCCTTGTCTTTTCTCCTTCTTAGTAGTTGAAATTCCATGATTGCTGAGATTATTTCTGGTAGGCCTCATCTGTAACCATGCATGTTGAAAGAATAGAATAAGTAGAACATTCACAAAAGAATGCTATAGGACCAGAATGGATAGCCAGTACTGTGAGGGGAAAAAAGAAAACTTGATTTCTCTAAAGTGGTAATGCAAAGCTGAACAGAAGACTCACTTGCCCTCCAAAATATGTTGAGAAGGAGATACTAGAGGGGGAAATCAGTTTAAATTAGGGACAAAAATATTTATGACAACAAATTTAGAATAGATGGAAATGGCTCATAATTCAACTCATTCTGCTAATAAACATCAGTGATCTTTTCACTGGTATGATTTATTATTGAAAAAAGTGGGACTCCTCCCTAGTTTTAATAGGTCTTTCCAGTATTACAGGTCTGAATTGCAGCAAGGCTAGTAGCAATCTATGGATGTAGGACAGTTCAACTAATGAGTGATAAAAAAACTGCAGTAGACTCCATGCTCCAGCACTAACTGCAACCCATTAATCTGTCAGAGGTTTACAATAGCAGCTAAAGAGAAATTAACCGTGATCGCTGAGTACTTAACTTTAATTGACACGTCAAATCTGTGTCAGAGTAACAAGATCTGACTAATGTCAAACATCCCTAAGAACATGCTTTTCTGTACTGAATAGCTACAGGGCATTCATTACAAGAAGCAGTGTAGATACACTGTTGCATATGATATTTTGACTCACTGAATCTTTTTGACTATCAGTCTTGTAATAATTCTATGATGGAAATGTTATTTCCAGAATGGATTTGGGGAATGAATAAAACTAAGAATAATTTTCCTGCTCCTGGCATACAGAAACCTGAGTCTGGGAGAAACTGGCATATTTTTTCCTCTCTCTCTTAGTAAGAACTCTGAATTTTCCAGCGCTGGAGGATTCTTCCCTCATTAAGAAGAGTCTTCATATTCCTTAGGAGGAAGACACTTTCCTACAGTTTTCCTTGCCAAGACTGTGACTCTTAGGCCTTTGCCTTTACGATTTACTGTGTGAGGTCAAGTATGCAGTTCCTTATGCAGAGATGGAGAGCTTTCCTGTCTGGTCCTGCCTCGAGTTATGCGGCTAAGCACTTTGTTGGCAATTCACCTCTTCAGATCTGAGCCCTCACAGGCTGAGGATGAGCAGTAACACCAGTCTGTTCTTGGATAAAAGCTGTAATCCTACAGTAATTTGAAAATGGTGGGTGCCCTTACCCTCTCCATTAAATAGGACAGGCCAGATGGTTTGAGGATTTGGGTGAAGGCTTCTCAGGAAGCTTTAGCTATTCAGAGCTATTCAGAAAAGATTATTGATGGATTTTGGATCACGATCTCTCTCTTTCTCCATCCATAGGTGTACAAAACCACATTTTAAGCTATTTAATGTTTCAATTTTTCTGAGTTTTTTTTTTTTCTTTTCTTTACTATCAAAACTGCCAAGTGTCCAGGTATCCCATTAATAATTTAGTAAATATTTTAAATTTTATCTAA